CAACATATCAAAAAGTGGTTAACTAGTAAAATGTTTATCAGGATATCAGCAACATATCAAAAAGTGGTTAACTAGTAAAATGTTTATCAGGATATCAGCAACATATCAAAAAGTGGTTAACTAGTAAAATGTTTATCAGGATATCAGCAACATTTTACTAGTTAGCCACTTTTTGATATCTTTCACAGAAAATGAGATATATAGGCTCAAAGTGGACGATCCGGGTGTCGTTCTATTAGAGGTTTTACGGTATTTTAAAATGAAAAATCAGCTTTTTTTGGATTTTTTGGGTCAAAAAAGCACTTTTTTAACTGAAACATTAGCTTTTTTTCAATTTTTTTAAGGATTAAAAACAGCTGAAAATTCCAAATTTTCAGCATTAAAAAAGCCAAATTTTCAGGCTTTTCGGCTCAAAAATTGCTCATTTTGAACCAAAAAAACCTTTCAAAAACCGATTTTTGACTCAACAACAGCTTGAAAGTCTTAATTTTCAGCATTAAAACACCCGAAAACACGAATTTACATTTTACTAGTTAACCACTTTTTGATATCTTTCAAAAGAAAATGAGATATATAGGCTCAAAGTGGACGATCCGGGTGTCGTTCTATTAGAGGTTTTACGGTAAGCATATTTTGAGCCTAAAAACCTCGATTTTGAGCCTAAAACCATCGATTTTGAGCCAAAAAATTCCAAAAATCAGTCGAATTTTCCCCAAATTTCCCCATTTTTCCCCCATTTTTTCTAGATTTTTCCCTATTTTTTTCCTCTTTTTTATATGCACACAAGGTCCTTTTTTTCGTCCTGTTTTCTGTTTTTTTTTTCTAGAAAATTCTCTTTTTTTCCATATTTTTTTTGGAATTTTCAAAAAATTAGATTTTAAAGAATTTTTGAGAGTTCTCAGCGAATTTTTAATAGGAAAATTCAATGTATTATAGCGTTTAAGATTCCAAATTTTTGAAAAAAAAACGAATTTGGCTTTTAGCATTAGAGCGCATTTTCTCAAATTTCTTGAAAACCTTTTTTTTTTCGAAAATTTGAATTCTCCGCCAAAACATTTTTTTTTTCCTATTTTTCTGGGTGTTTTCCACTTGTCTTCTTGCTCTGCTGTTCTTTAATTAATTGATAAAAAGATATTCAATGGAAAAAATTGAATTTTCCCAAAAAATCCAATTTCCAAAAATTGAAATTTTCCTAAAAATTCAATGTTCCGATGTTCCTATTTTACAAAATATGATTCTAATCACGGCATCGCGGTTGGGAACCTGAAAAACGCGCGCTTCGTCGCACACAAAAGTTGGCTGCGTGCCAGATTCGAAAATTTCAAAACATGTTTTGAAAAAAACGTGAAGTTAAGCGTTGTTGAGTCGCTACTCACCGAAAAGCCGCGACGCGACCGCGCAACGCGTCCAAAATTGGCGCGCTTTCCAGTTTTTAAATCTAGGTTCCCTTCCGCGAGGCCGTGTCTAATGAATTTTCAAAAAATCCCCAAATATTGAAAATTTTCCTCGCCGATTTTTTTCCTTTTTTTAAGCCAATGTCTGCGTCTCTCAAGTCCACCTACTCTCTCTCTCTCTCTCTCTCTCTCTCTCTCTTCCTTTCGATGCCTAGTAATGCTCTTATCATTTCTTATCAATGATTCGTTGTCACAATGTTCTCTTATTGCTAGCCGTTAACGTTCTGGCCGAATCACTTTCTTTTTTTGCTGTGTTAGCAATAAGAAATTTCGGAAAATCAGGTGATTCTTATGGTCTGATTTTTTAAGAATCTGAAAATCTCATAATTCCAGAGCCTCGGATTTTTAGAATTCCGCAACTTCAGAATCTCAGAAACTCGGAATATTAGAATATCCGTAACCCAAGAATTCGGAACTTCGGAAACTTAGAACTTCAGAAACTTGAGAATTTAGGGATTCAGGAACCTAGAAATTCAGAATCTTCGGATTCTCGAAATTCCAGAATTTTAGAATCTAGGAATTGAGAATCCCAGAATCCCAAAATCTGAGAATTTAGGAATTTTAGAATCCCAGAATTTCAGAATCTGAAAATCCCAGAATCCAGGAGTTTAAGAATCTTAGAACCTTGAAATCTCCAAATTCTAGAATCTAAGAATCCTGGAATTCCAGGATGTTAGAATCTCAGAATCTAGGAATCCCAGAACCTCAGAATCTTAAAAACTGAGAATCTCGGAATTTCAAAATCCAGGAATCTTAGAATTTGAAAATCTTAGAATCCAAGAATCTAGGATTATAGTAATCTGAAAATCTCAGAATTTTAGATTTTTAAGATCTTGAGAATTTCGAAATCCTTAGAATCTTAGAATCCAAGAATCTAGGAATCCTAGAATTCAGGAATCTAGGAATTTGAGAATCTCGGAATCTTAGAATTTCAAGATCTTGAGAATTTCAGAATCTCAAAAATTCTAAAATTGAGAGTCTAAAAAGTTTAGAATCTCAAAATCTAAGAATCTGAAAATCCAAGATTCCCAGAATGTACGAATCAATGAGTCCCAGAATCTGAAAATCTCAAAATTTCAGAATCTTGGATTTCTAGAATTGTTGAATTTCTTAGGATTTCAGAATCTAAAAACCTGAAAATCTAAGAATATGAAATCTGCAGAATCTCAGATTTTTAAAACTTCTGGAACCCAAAATCCTGAAATTTCAGAATCTAAGCAACCAGGAATCTAGGAATTTCAGAATTTCCAAAATTCAGTCTCTCTAAATCTTAAAAATTCGAAAATTCCGAGTCTAACAATCGAAGGATCTCAGAATTC